CGGAGACACCCCCCACCCCTTTTTCACAGCGCGAGGCCAAATTCCTGTGGGGACGAAGCCGCACGCCAGAACCCCCCCCCTGCTGTGCCAAACCCGCCTATAAGAAGTGATGCAAGACTCCGGGCCATTCTAAAACTCCCTAACCATCGGTAGCAAAGCCACCACCCCACCCAATGGAAAGTATAAAACTTCACGGCTGAAAAACATATATTAAGACGTGCACTGGGGGTGGGCTACTTGATGAAAGCGCTTTTTCCCTTCCGGAGAGCGTTCCTGTTTAAAAACTCCCATCATTCTAAAGTTTCCCCTTCGTCAGCACCACTAAAGCCACACTGAACTGTTTTAATGGCATTTTAACAGCTTTATTTTAATTATGTTGATCATTGGTTTTGTGCTTTTATTGGTGTGCACTGCCCAGAGTCCCCAGTATGAGATGGGTGGCTCTATCAATTTAACAAATGCATAAATAAAATACCCCACCGACGCTGATGGGAAACAGACGCTCGAGGGCGGTCCAACAGCCCCGGCCCCTGCACGGACGACTTGTCTCCCCTCCCGCAAAGGCAGGACCGTGCGCAGGACCCTCCCCAACGGCAGCAGGACCTGCCCGTCCTCCCTCGCCCACAGCCTCGGGAACCAGAGGTGACTTTTGCTTCCACCCCAAGGGCGCAGAAGCCCTCGGCCTAATCTGGTAAGAAGAGGGGGGTCTAGTTTTTGTCTTTACCATCTGCATTATCGGGGCCTCCAGCGTCAATTCCCGCCCGGCTGTCTTTCTCCAACAAGAGCAGAGCACCTTTATTTCCCTCCACCTCAGCTGTGCAAGAGACACCAGGAAAGAGAAAGTGTGTGTTGCGGGGGGGGTTGGGGAAGGAGAGGAGAAACAACAGTGGTCACAACTCAGAATCACAAGAGGCTTTCAGTCCCTGTCACCCACAGAGAAGCAGCGAGGCGCGAGGAAAGGAAGCCAAAGACAAGCAAGGTGAGGAAAGGCTGCGATCCCAAAGCCACAGGAATTGGGAACCGGTGGAGGGGACCCACCGACTCCAGCTGAGCCCTTTTCATGCATTCTTTGGCCCCTGAAGGGGGGGAGGTCTCAGTGGGGGTCTGAAGATCAGCGGTAACTAGCTGCAGATCAAGCCAAGGTACTAAGCTCTGTTGGAGCCTCTCCCCGCAAGCCGCCCAGGGTGATGGGACCCCAGTGCCCTGTCGCCAGTGCCCAACACTCATCTCAGGACTCCCCGCCCCCCCCCAGTTGAGTCTGTTCTTGAGTCAGTCCTCTCTCTCTCCTCCCGCTGCGGTTACCTTTCCGCACCACCATATAGCCGCTTGGAGCTTCAGCCTCCTGGACCGCAGGGGGGCCCACCGCATCCTGGCACTCGCTGGGCCCAGGGTCACTAGTGGGGCCCAAGGACTGGGGCCGGATCCCGCCGCCCTGCAAGTCCGGCGGCAGGGGGCCGGGGGCAGCAGAGGCGTCATGGCCCTCCAGGGGCTCCGGCAGCTCCTCTCGGCTGGCAGGTGCCGAGCCCCAGTGCTGGGTGGGGCCGGCCCCCGAAGGGGTGGGGGTCAGGTCGTCTTCCAGTTCAGAGTCCTGGCAGGGCAGGAAGCTGCGCAGGAGGAGGCGCCGCAGGGTTTCCACTGCGAGGGGGGGAAAGGGAGAGGGCCAAGTGGTTTCCTGTCCAAATCAACCCTTGACGCACCCCCCACCCCTCAAGCGCAGGCAAGGAGGCCCATGGGGCGCAGCCTGGCCTGGTCCCATAATGTACCCTGACAGAATTAGGAGGGGGACCAAAAGGGCTTACCGTCCCCCAGGGCGGATTCAGCCATGCTGTCCACGCGGGGAGGCCCTTGAGGGGGCCTGCCAGAGGGGGCTTCCTCCAGAGGATGCAACGGAAGTGCTGTAGGTGGGTCCCCTTCCTCCTCCTCCTCCTCCTCCTCCTCCTCGTCCTCTTGGTGCCCAACCTCCGGCTGCTCAGTCACAAAGGCTTCAGTCGGGGTCTCATCTGTGGGGGGGGTAGAGAGTCTGAGAAGAAGCATGGCGCAAGGGGGGCTGAGAGCAAGATCCGCCCCTCCCACCATGCAAAGGGGAAGAACTTGCCAGATGGGAGCTGGCAGGGAGCAGGCTGCCTTGTGCCACCCCCA